CCGACTGAGAGCTGGAGGCGTTTTGCAAGTTTAATATTTCTGTGATCACTTATATCTAAATATATCCATTTGTTTTTTTAATCACTATGACCTCCTTTTTTCTTAGAATAAATTTTCCTGATGTTTTCTTTTAAAACACGTTTTTCAGAACAAGCAAAATACGCTACTACACTTAATACTTCATTTTTTTATATGATTTTCTACCAAAGTCCTAAATTAGTTTGTAAAAAACGTAATTAAATTCCATTAAATTATTTAGGTTCTGATACCTTGCAATTGCTAACAATCCGCAGGTGTGCTGTACCATCACCATAAACATCGTTTCGGTCGCTAACAGTGTGGTTAGACCTGCCATAGCTATTAGAAATATGTCAGATACAATCACGTAAAAGTATTTTTGCTGATCAAAAAACCATTCCATAGGCGTAAATAAAGTACGTAAACGAGGCTCGTCTAGCGGCATTACAATGTTAAGAATATCTGGTACGAAGAAAGATGTCATGAAGAAAAATGCACCTATGTACATCATCACTGAAATAATGCAGAAGCTGATTTGCAAATGAATTTTTTGCACTGTACGCATGAATCTGTTTCGCTTATGNGAGTATTTCACATTAAATTGAACTGTTGAATATAAAAAATACGCAGATTTGACTAAAACGCGGCGCTGCTTTACTAACATCCGGAGACAACGGTGTAATATCGTCCTCGAGAAGCGTACTTCTGTATTATCTCCATCTCTCGGCTGTCCGTTATCATAATGCAATCGCACTTAATTTGTTCGAATAACGCTTTCACCTGTGACAAAACGATTATTGAAAAAAAAATTGTCTTGCTTGTAATCAACAAATACTAGATGTTATAAGAAGTATACTTGTGCACGCACTACGCGTATACTAATAAGAAATAGTCGAAATAAGAAAAGGCGCGTATAAGTGTCACATTAGAATTATAAATATTCAACTTACGTTCGTGGAATTGATATAAATCGTATGATACTTCAACAAATAGATAAACATCAGACCATTGAAAGACATCATATCGATAAATAATCTTCCGCTGAACTGATGCGTGAGTAAAATCATGTACTGTAAACGACATTATTCCCGTGCATACAAGTACTGCACTGATAGTAATTCTATGAACTATTTTTTCTATGTCTCTTAATATTTTACTTTTATTTGTAAAATTGTTGCGCAAAGCACCATGTGTGTCAAGAAACATTGTTACCTGCNATATTATACCAATTGTATGAATGATTGATATGATCACACACATAAGTTTCCTGTGTCTCGGATTTTGATCAGGCCATAGACCGACGGAGATCATCAAACGGCGCATAAGCCCGTAGAATCGATCGTCGTATATATCCATCCTCACTGAGAGTCTAAACGCATCTGCGTGCCGTGTAATGTATACATCTTCGTTACCACCCACTTCCACCCCACGTTTTTCTCAAGACAATTTTGCCAGTTGTATAACGTCTCATCATTGTGTAATAGTCGTTATTATAAATAATGGTATATAATGTTCCTAAACTCCGTGTATATTCGCGAAATAAAAAGAGAAAATTGCGCGATCGATGATACCAGAACGTTAGGGTGAGAGTGCAAAATGCGTTTCGATTAAATGAAATTAGATGCTCCACAACTTGTTGCCTTCTTTGAAAATAGTTCTATAAGTTCCTAATATTCTACACATGTACTTTTTCATGCTAATATGACGCAAGCGAAATAGATTCTTTACTCTATCACGTTCTAGTGCTCTTTCGGACTCTACAACACTCGGAACGTTCTTTTTCTCGCGATTACAGTCCGAGATTGTACATAAGAGTCCTGGAGATCCCGTTTCCTGGTGTTTGCGTTTCGACAAATCCATCTCGCGACTCGACAAAGAAATCTAACTGCAGCAGTTTGTAAAAACAATTATTCCAACTATCTAAGTATAAAATATTTCTAAATGAAAATATGCAATTACAGCGACGTAAGTGGAATTTTAAGAATTGTCAAAAGACCACAAATTATAGATGTGTTGTAATATGTACCTCAGTATTTATCTGAGCGACAATAAAAAACGCATTTTAGTGACCAAAAGCCCATTACTCAGTTCGAATAATAACATAACTAAGATAATTAAATACATTGTTGGCGAATTGCACACACCCGGCGTAGTTTTTTGACAAAAAGTGTCGCAAATTGTGTTACATCTGTATGAAGAAACACGCATGATCTTAATACCTCGCCAATTTAGTACTACACATGCTCGTGGGGCTTTCTTGTTTACGGCTTTCGACGGCTTCTTGACAGAGCGAAGTATATTCACGAAATCTTACCACTCATTGCACGCGTACATCTCTAGAGCAAGATAATATAATACATCATCGCGCAAGTATTTCGCGTGCTAACAGCTAAACGTTCGTCGAAAATTTGCGAGAGTTTATTGTGTACCTACGGTGTGAACATATTTTAAATATATTGAGTCTAGTAGTAACAACTTTCTGTTGTGAACGTGTATCACGACAATCATATACGTCGTCACGTAAAACAAAATTGCAATACTTGTTGCAATCAACATTTTCCTTATTTCTCTTCTACTTGAACAGTAAGAATAATCAGACGGAGTGTAAACAAGACAAACAGACAGTACCACAATGATTATTTTATTAACACCACACAATTTAAAAGTTTTCTCCGCATGCCTCTATTTCGCACTTCTTCTTGGTATTAATCGCGTTACGATTACACGGAGCATAGCACCGTAAAATAAGACACTGACAAACTAGTCAACTAGAAAAATAAATTTCAGTTACACACGCGCATCTTCCAGCTCTATACCAAAACAAAAGTAAGATAAAAAAAACTGCTACCGAAGCAAATCCTTCCATCGATGCTATTATTAGGCCACCGAATAATTTGAAAGCACACGTTCTCGATGATATTTGCAATGGGAAAAGTAACAATTTTTGAATGTAAACAGGAGCTGTGTACCACCTCGACGAAAATCTACAAATAAATTCCAAGTTTACACGTCTGTACGTCAGTTATCTTATTGTTCTGAATATGTAAAAACACAAAGAAAATAGTTTTTGTTTGTTTCGATTGACTCTTTTGAAACATTACACGTTATTTTCTGAACACCAACTCGTGTATACTCACGTTATTTTAAACAACCTTTCGCTATGATCAGACAGATCCTGTCCAAAATACGCCACCCAAAACACATAGCAAAAATGACCTAAAACGTATATAGCGGCAACAATTATCTCGCTGAGTACGTTATGTTCAATCGCTTGCAACAGCTGAAAAATCAAATCGGAAATTTGTATCCTGAGCTAACTGTACAAACGGAAAAGTGCTGAAACATACATTGTTCAACATGAAAAAACGGACACTACTTACTTGTACCATATTAACGGTCAATGACGTAACACCAACTATCGCGAGAATCGAATAAGATACAGCAAAATACGAAGTAAAAAGCTCTACGATTCTTGAATATCACAGAAATAACAAATTTTAATGAAAAAATAAATCAAATAAATCATCATGTAAACAATTCAGATGAAATATAATAAATTACAAACAAAGACAACATAGTTACGTACCGTAAGGATCGTATGTGGTTTCTTATGGCGTGCACAATGTTCCGTTTGACAACACATGTTTCGTTGCAATCGTCAAACGCACGACTTAAGTGATAACTAAAATATAAATATTTCTTATGTCCTACGATAAACTTCAATCACCTTCGCATCCACACTTTAACTTTAATATTTTTTGTATTTTTTTATTTTTATATGTAATTCGATCGCGACTGAGAACTCGAGACGTTTTGCACTTTTAATATTTCTGCACACATGTGATTACTGGTATCTAAATATATCCATCTGTGCTTAATTCATTTTGACCTCCCTTGTTCTCATTCTAAATATTCCCGATGTTGTCTTATAAAAAAAAAAAAAAAAATTGCTCAAAACAAGCAAACTATCATGCTACACTCAATATTCCATGTGTTTTCTAAAAGATCTTCTACTAAAGTGTTAAATGTGTTTGTAGAAAGCGTAATCAAAAAGCAATAAATTAATAAGGTTTTTGTACTTTGCAATTGCTAACAATCCGCAGGTGTGCTGTATAATCACCATAAACATCGTTTCGGTCGCCATCAGTGTGGTTACGCCTGCCATAGCAATCAAAAAAATGTTAGATACAATCACATAAAAGTACTTTTGTTGATCGCAAAAGCATTCTATGGGCATATGTAAAGTGCGCAGACGAGGCTCGTCCAACGGCATTATGAAGTTGAGAATATCTGGTACGCAGGAAATCATCAAGTACAAAAATACGAACGTGTACATGATCACTGAAACAATGCAGAAGCTGATTTGCAAGCAAAGGTTTTGCATTTTACGCATATATCTGTTCCGCTTATATGAGTATTTCACATTAAATTGACTAATTGTCGAATGTAGAAAAAAACGCTGGTTTGTTCGAAACATAACGTTGGGTTACTAACATCCGGAAACAACGGTGTATTGTCGTCCTCGAGAAGCGTACTTCTGTATTATCTCCAATTCTCGGCTGTCGGTTATCGCGACGCAGTCACAATTAATTTGTTCGAATAACGATTTCACCTGCGACAAAACGATTATCAATAAAAAGAAAAAAATATTTATCTTGTAATTAACGAATACTAGACGTTGTAACAAGTATATTGCGTACGCATATTGCGCGCATACTATTAGTCGAAATGAGAAAAAACGCGCATAAGCAAATGTCAAAACTATAATCGCAAATTTTTCACTTACGTTTGTGGAATTCATATAAATCGAGTGATACTTCACCAAGTAGATAAAGAAGAGACCACTGAAAGCCATCAGTTCGATAACTAATTTTCCGCTGAACTGATGCGTGAGAAAGATCATGTACTGTAAACGACATTATTTCTGTGCACACAAGAAAGAACTCTACTCATAGTAATTCTGTACATTGTTTTTTTCTATAATTCTTCACATTTTACTTTTAATTGTAAAACTGTTGCGCAAAACACCGTCGACAAACGTTGTTACCTGCAATATTATACCACTCGTAAAAATGACTGATATGATCACACACATAAGTTTCCTGTGTCTCGGATTTTGATCAGGCCATAGACCAACAAAGACCATCAACCGACGCATAAAGCCGTAGAATCGATCGTCGTATATATCCATTCTCTCGTAGAACCAAACCGCATCTGCGTAACGTGCCGTGTAAAGTATCTTTGTTTCCCACTTCCTCCACTTCCCGCGTTTTTCTCGTGACAATTTTGCCACCTGTATAACGTCTCAACACTGTTTAATAATCGTTAGTATAGATAATGGAATATACCTTTTCTAAACTCTGTATATACTCGCGAAATAAAAACAGAAAATTGCGCGATCGATAATACCAGAACGATAGGGTGAAAGTGCAAAATGCGCTTCAATTAAGTGAAATTGGATGCTCCACAATTTGTTGCTTTCTCTTGAAAATAGTTCTATACCCTACTAATATTCTACAGATATACTTTTTGATGCTAATATGACGCAAGCGCAATAGATTCTTAGGCCTATCACGTTCTAGTACTCCTTCGGACTCTACAACACTCGGATCGTTCTTTATTTCGCGGTTACAGTCCGTGACTGTACAGAAGAATCCTGGTGATCTCGTTTTCTGTTGATTGCGTTTCGACAAGTGCATCTCGCGACTCGACAAAGAAACCTAACTGCAGATGTTTGTGAAAACAATTCTTCCATCTATTTATAACGTATCTCTAATTGAAAATATGCCATTATATAGCGACGTAAGTGCAAATTTAAAAATTGTCAAAAAAATTAAAATTGCAGATGTGTGCTAAACTGTATCGAAGTAGTTATCTGAACAACAATAAAATATACGCAGCTTATTGACCAAAAGCTCATTACTCAGCTTGAATAACAGCATACCTAAGATAATTAAGTACATTCTTAACAGATAGCACGCATCAAACGTTTTTCTTTGATAAAAACTCCCGCAAAGTTTGTTATGTCTCTAGAACTAGATGCGCATAATCCGAATACCTCGTCAGT